CTGTCCACTGGTTCACTCCCAGGTGGCGGCAGTGGCTGGAGCCACACCGATCCGAAGCCAGGAGCCAGGAGCTTCTTCTGGGTCTCCTACACAGGTGCAGGGGCCCAAGGACTTGGGCCATCTTCCACTGCTTTCCCAGGCCATAGTGGAGAGCTGGATCAGAAGTGGAGCAGCCAGGACTAGAACCGGCGGCCATATGGGATGCAGGCGGCAGCTTTACGCACTATGCCACAGTGCCTGCCCCTGTAACTGCCTTTCAAGTAAACAAAATTAAATCTTTAAAGAAAAAAAAAGAATCTGTTCTGAGACTAGAGACAAGAGTGGCAGCTAAGTATGATATAAACAGAGAAGCACCAGTGAGATTAGTGACTGTGCCTGAAATGTATCTCCCTTCTAAGAACTGTGAGACTGAAGACTTAAATTTTAATTGGCACGAATGAGTTGCAGATTGAGAAAATTATGTACCCTCTTAAGGAAATACAGGTATGGGTCTGAATATATATTTTATCTGAATTTCAAGGAGTTCAGTGCTTTCTTAAAAAGCCTAGCCATGAGCTGTTTTCAAGAACCTTGATTAACATGGGATGTTAACTTACATCCTGAGGTCAGTGAGGACGGGTAAGTTAGCAGATTAAGAATTTGGTAGACCAGGGGCTGACGCTGTGGTGCAGCGGGTAAATGCCCTGGCCTGAAGCGCCAGCATCCCATATGGGCACCAGTTCTAGTCCCAGCTGCTCCACTTCCGATCCAGCTCTCTGCTATGGCCTGGCAAAGTAGTAGAAGATGGCCCAAGTCCTTGAGCCCCTGCACCCGTGTGGGAGACCCAGAAGAAGCTCCTGGCTCCTGGCTTTGGATCGGCGCAGCTCCGGTCGTTGCGGCCATTTGGAGAATGAACCATCGGATGGAAGATATCTCTCTCTCTCTCTCTCTCTCTCTGCCTCTCCTCTTTCTGTGTGTGATTCTGACTTTCAAATAAATAAATAAATCTTTAAAAAAAAAGAATTTGGTAGACCAAGTGCTGTTAAGTCATCCATTCATGAAAAAACACTGGGGAAGGTGGAGATGGTGCAGAGGATGATCAGGACTTCTTTCTGGGATTTACATCTGGATTTTTGTCCTTCTTTGAGGATTCTCTCATTTATAAAAGAAAATAACCACTATTTTTTTTAAGATTTTATTTATTTCTTGGAGAAAACTACAGAGAGAGAGAGGGAGAGACAGAGAAAAAGGTCTTCCCTCCTCTGGTTCAATCCCCAAATGGCCACAATGACCAGAGAGAAGCTGATCAGGAGCCAGGAGCTTCTTCCAGGCTTCTCACACAGATACAGGGGCCCAAGCACTTGGGCCATCTTCCACTGCTTTCCCAGGCCATAGGCCAAGCAGCCAGGACATGAACTGGCATTCATATGGGATTCTGGTTCCGCAGGCAGAGACAACCTATTGCACCAGAGCGCCAGCCCGCTGACTACTTTTAACTTGTGTTCCCCTTTAGCTTCCATATACTCTCCTTTTCATAACTAGACGTTTTGGCAAAATACATCCCTTCATCACCATTACCAGTTCTTTTTTATTCTTTCATCTCTACTACACTGCAGTGCCAGTGCCAGTTTCAGTTCTTAGTATTTCTCTTCCCAGATTTCTTTTCAGGTCTAGTTAGGCTTTACGAACCTCCAGCCTTGCCCAGTGACAACACTCTCTTGCCTTTTCCTCTCTTGCTGGCTGTGGCATCTCTACATCCTCTGTTCTCTTCCTTTGCTGAGGTGTTGCTCCCTCACAATTCAGATATGATTTTCTCTTCCTTGATCCTGCATTTTCTTCATCATGTGGTAGCCTCCCTCCTCACCCTAGGCCCTAGGGTTGCCCACTAAACAGCAAGTGCCACCACTGTCACCACCACCCCCTCTTTTTTGGCAGAGCCTGCCTCTTAAGCTCTGTATCCAGTTTCCCTGTTGTCAATCAAATGTCTTGCAAACCCAGTGTATTAAAAAGTGTAGTCATGATTTTCCCTTCACTGTCTGTGCCTAGAAGAATTATAGAGGCAAATGTTGGTGATGCCTACTTTGTCTCATTAAGTATAATGGTTTCCAGTTGTATCCATTTTGTTGCAAAAGCCAATATTTTATTTTTTATGGCTGGATAGTATTCCACAGTGTGTGTGTGTGTGTGTGTGTGTGTGTGTATATGTATATATATATACCATAATTTCTTTATCCCTTCTTCAGTTGTTGGACATTTGAGTTGGTTCCATACCTTAACTATTGTGAATTGAGCTGCAATAAACATGGGAGTACAGACAACTTTTTCATATGCTGATTTCATTTCCCTTGAGTAAATTCCCAAGAGTGGCATGGCTGGGTCATATGGTATATCTATTTTCAGATTTCTGGGGTATCTCCATACTGTCTTCCACAATGGCTGTACTAGTTTACATTCCCACCAACAGTGAATTAGGGTACGTTTTTCCTCCCACATCCTTGCCAGCATTTATTATTTGTTGATTTGTGTATAAAAGCCATTCTAACAGGGGTGAGGTAAAACCTCATTGTGGTTTTGATTTGTCTTTCCCTGTTGGCTAGTGATCCTGAGCATTTTTTCATTTGAATTTCCACTTTTGAAAAATTATGTTAAAGTCATTTGCCCATTTCTTAACTGGATTATCTGTTTTGTTGTTATTGAGTTTCTTGAGCTCTTTTTATAGATTCTGGCTATTAATCCTTTATCAGTTGTATAGTTTGCAAATATTGTCTCCCATTCTGTCAGTTGCCTCTTCACTTTGCTGAGTGTTTCTTTGCAGGGCAGAAGCTTCTCAGCTTGATGTATCCCATTTGTTTTAGCTTTGATGGCCTGGGCTTCTGGGATCTCTTCCAAGAAGTCTTTGCCTATGCCAGTGTCTTGCAGAGTTCCCCCAATGTTCTCCTCTAATAATTTGATAGGTCACAGATTTAGATCCATGATCCATTTTGAGTTAATTTTTGTATAAAGTATAAGATAGGGGCCTTGTTTCATACTTCTGCACACAAACATCTGATTTTCCCAAAACCATTTGTTGAAGAGACTGACCTTTCTGCAGGGATTGATTTTAGTTCCATTGTCTAAGATAAGTTGATTATAGATGCAATGGTTGATTTCTGGGGTTTCTGTTTTGTTCCATTGATCTACATGTCTATTTCTGTGCTAGTACTAGGCTGTTTGGATCATAACTGCCCAATAGCATGTCTTGAAATCTGGTATTGAAATCTGGTATTGTGATGCTTCTGGCTTTGTTTTTGTTGTATAGGATTGCTTTAGCTATTCAGAGTCTTTTGTATTTCCATATGAATTTTAGCATAATTTTTTCTAGATCTGTAAAGGATGTCATTGGTGTTTTGATTAGGATTATGTTGAATCTGTAAATTGCTTTTGCTAGTATGGACATTTTGATAATATTAATTGTTTGAGTCCATGAACATGGAAGATTTTTCCATTCTTTTGTCTTTTCTTTCTTTCTTTAATGTTTTGTAGTTTTCATCATAGAGCTCTTTCACTTCCTGGGTTAAATGTATTCTAAGTTATTTAATTTTTTTTTGTAACTATTGTGAATGGAATTGATCTTAGAAGTTTTTTTTCAGGCATGGCAACTGCGTTTACAAGGCTATGAATTTTTGTATGTTAATTTTATTCCTACCTCTTTACCAAACTCTTATGAGTTTCAATAGTCTCTTAAGGAACATTCCTCTACATAGTCAAGGCAATTTATGACAAACCCACAGCTAGCATCTTACTGAATGAAGGAAAGTTGGAAGGATTTCCACTAAGATTGGAACCAGACAAGGATGTGCACTCTCACCATTGCTATTCAATATAGTCCTGGCAATTTTAGCCAGAGCCATCATGCAAGAAGAAGAAATCAAGGGGATACATATTGGAAAGGAGGAAATCAAATTATCCCTATTTGCAGATGACAAGATTCTATGTATAGGGGAACTTAAAGACTCCACTAAGAGACTATTGGACTCAGAAGAGTTTGATAAAGTGGCAGGAGAAACAAGGTTTTTAAAGGATAAGGTGATGCTATGGGAAAACTTCTAAGTAATTCAAAGTTTGAAAACTCTGAGACTTATGTATTAAACTCTGAACCTAACTTAAAGAGGTGAGTACCTCACCATGTGAAACTGGTCATTATGCTGCGTTCTCTTTATCACTGTTTTTTGCAGACTTCTAAAAGAATCATCTGTTGGTTTTATGTGTGGCAAACAGCACTATATTCTTTGTTAAATGAGGTTAAATTTGTGTAACACATTTAGATCCTAGTAAAACAGAGGTAATCTGCTTTTTTTTTTTTCCCCTAGGCTTGAGATTGTGCCCTATTTCAAGACCACAGTGCCTGCCATGGCTTACCAATCATACAAATAATGGATTTTCTCTAGATGGCACTGCTGTCCTGTAGGCTGTCTTTTTTAAAATTTTTTTTATGATTTATTTATTTATTTGAAAGTCAGAGTTAACAGAGAGAGAGAGAAATCTTCCATCTGTTTATTCACTCCCCAAATGTCTGCAATGGCCAAAGCTGGGCTGATCCAAAGCCAGTAGCCAACAGCTTCTTCTGTGTCCCCTTCATGGGTACAGTGGCCCAAGGATTTGGGCCATGTTCTGCCACTTTCCCAGGCACATTCGCAGGGAACTGGTTCAGAAGTGGAGCAGCTGGGATTCAAACCAGGGCCCATATAGGATGTTCGCGCTGCAGGCGGTGGCTTGACCTGTTAGCCACAGTGCCAGCGTTGGTAATCTGCATTTAAAGTTCTGGTTATTATGGCATGTAGATATGTCCTCTTAAAAAACCACATATACTTATTTGAAATATTTTTTTAATTTAGTCAGTGAACTTGTTTTTCATGAAAGTCAAACACTAAGTGTGTTTTATCCTAAAATTGTACTTTATCTCTTAGGATGTATGTGTATAGTATATTCTGTGGAGTTAAATCTTGATAGGTAATTTGATGCCAGTTTGTTTTCTCTGTCAGGTTTGCCTGTCTGTCCTGAGCTGGTGAGAGAGCATATCCCTAAAACCAAGGATGTGGGACATTTTTTATCTGTCACTGGGACCGTGATTCGAACAAGTCTGGTGAAGGTGCTGGAGTTTGAACGGGATTACATGTGTAACAAATGCAAGCATGTATTTGCAGTCAGTGCTGACTTTGAGCAGTATTATACCTTCTGCCGACCATCCTCCTGTCCCAGCTTGGAGAGCTGTGATTCCTCAAAGTTTACTTGCCTCTCAGGCTTGTCTTCATCTCCAACCAGGTGTAGAGATTACCAGGAAATCAAAATTCAGGAACAGGTAAACGATCAAATAAACTGAGAAAAATAATGAATTGAAGAAGTGGCTTCCAGCTATGAGCAAATTGTTAGGAGGGGGAAACTCAGCATGGATATAGATATACTTGTGTAATCCCCTGGGAGGAGACCAGCTTGAAGTTGTTCCCACATGTATCAGGTTGTAGTCTTAGATGCCACCTTTTTAGATAGAGCACTGACAAGGAGGTTGTGTATGGAATGATTTAATAATTGATTATGTTAAAGAAGTGAATAGTTAAAATGTGTAAACTAGCTGTTCTTAACTAAGGGATAGGAAGAAAATTATTAACTGTCGTTAACAGTTGTAATGAACATTGTTTAACAAATGGGAATGAACCCGATTTTCCCATAACTTGCAGCTCAAACACAAAGGTTTACTTTTTTTTTTTTTGACAGGCAGAGTATAGTGTGAGAGAAGAGACAGAGAGAAAGGTCTTCCTTTGCCGTTGGTTCACCCTCCAATGGCCGCTGCTGCTGGCGCGCTGCGGCCAGCACACCGCGCTGATCCAAAGCCAGGAGCCAGGTGCTTCTGCTGGTCTCCCATGGGGTGCAGGGCCCAAGCACTTGGGCCATCCTCCACTGCACTCCCGGGCCATAGCAGAGAGCTGGCCTGGAAGCGGGGCAACCGGGACAGAATCCGGCGCCCCGACCGGGACAAGAACCCGGTGTGCTGGCGCCGCTAGGTGGAGGATTAGCCTATTGAGCCACAGCGCCGACCTAAGGTTTACTCTTAATTTAAAATAAGTAGGAGATCTGTAGTGCAAGACTAGCATGTAGGCCCCTCAGAGTCAAGGACTCCATTGTCTTTCTGTTAAACCATCCTGAATGTATGGCTTCTATGCTTATGGTTGTCTGCAGCCCACGATAGTGGTTGCAGCTCCATCATATCTGTGATCTAGTGAGAGAATATGAAAAAGAGATAGGCGGAAGTGCCAGCCACCTCACCAAGTCTCCATTTAAGTGGTTATCTCTATATGCCTGTTTAAATCTCACTGGCCAGAACATGATCATGTAACCCCATGAAGGTACATGCAAACCAGAAAAGGAGACTTCTTTTACTAGGCACCAGCCGGCATGGAGAAAAAGCAACAACAGGGTTTTGTTTCTGAGGGATTGGGTGATTTGTCCCAGGTTGTGAGACAAGAGGTCAGGAAAGAAATGCTTCTCTTTTTATAGGTGAGTAACTTTGCCATTATGTTTAGTAGTTAGAGCATAACTACATCCCCAAAGGATTATATTTGGAGACATTTTTCCATATGGTGCTTTTATTTTACTCAAGTTTTAATGAATTCTTAAATAATATGTACAATTTTCAAGAACATTTCCTTTTTTTTTTTTTTTTAGATTTATTTATTTATTTGAAAGTAAGAGTTACCCAGAGAGAGGAGAGGCAGAGAGAGAGAGAGAGAGGGAGGGAGGGAGATAGGGGGAGGTCTTCCATCCGATGGTTCACTCCCCAATTAGCTGCAACGGCCGGAGCTGTGCCGATCTGGAGCCAGGAGCTTCTTCCGGGCCTCCCACGTGGGTGCAGGGGCCCAAGGACTTGATCCATCTTCTACAGCTTTCCCAGGCCATAGCAGAGAGCTGGATCGGAAGTGGAGCAGTCAAGTCTCAAACTGGTGCCCATATGGGATGTCAGCACTTCAGGCCAGGGCATTAGCCTGTTGCACCACAGTGCTGGCCCCCAAGAACATTTCCTTAAATCTTCACATTATTGGGGCCGGTGCCGTGGCTCACTTGGTTAATCCTCTGCCTGCGGCACCAGCATCCCATATGGGTGCTGGGTTCTAGTCCTGGTTGCTCCTCTTCCAGTCCTTCTCTCTGCTGGGCTCCTGCACCCGCATGGGAGACCAGGAAGAAGCACTTGGCTCCTGGCTTTGGATCGGCGCAGCGCCGGCTGTTGCAGCCAATTGGGGAGTGAACCAACAGAAGGAAGACCTTTCTCTCTGTCTCTCTCTCTCTCTGTAACTTTACCTGTCAAATAAAATTTTAAAAAAATCTTCACATTATTAAAGTGTATAGTAATGCCAGAGAAATGGAAAAAATAATTTCAAGTACTAAGCTTTTAGATACTTAGTATGTCTTTGATTATACTCTTTTCTTTTCCTTGCTAGGTTCAAAAGCTGTCTGTTGGAAGTATTCCAAGATCTATGAAGGTTATCCTGGAAGATGACTTAGTAGACAGTTGCAAATCTGGTAAGAAAGAACTTTTGTTAGCTTGTATGGGAGGTTCTGAAATACTAATTAGGAAAAGCCACTTTTTATTTTCTGAAAGTTATTGTTACAGGATTGTAGAGGCTTGATTCCTTACTTTAAGAATAGAGATGTAGCCTGGAGGGGAGAGATGACAACAGGAAAGAGAGCTGAGCTGGAACTTAGAGCTTGTGTTATAGATGAAGAACTTGACTTGCCCAAGGGCACTTAGTTAAGTGGCAGAATTGGCACATGAATCCAGATCCACTGACTTCTAATCCAGGGCTTTCTTCAGGGCATTGTAGAATAACAGCAAGACTTTTAAACAGTTTAGAGGATTTAGTGGATATGCATATAAAATGAATCAGAGGATATGACTCTACTACAGAGTAGAGTCCTATTGGTGTCCAGAAGAAAGAAGGTGACTGTTCTTTGCTATGGTGCTGGCGACACCACAACAGGAGCCACATTCATTTTGAACATGAAAATATCCTTTGATAGAGAAAAAGATGGTTTCATGCAATTATTCTAAACTAAATTCACTCTGTACTGAAAAATAAATTAAAAAAAAAAAAAAGATTTAGTTATTTGAAAGGTAGAGTTTCCGAGAAAGAGGGAGATACAGAGAGAAAGAGAAGTCTTCCATCTGCTGGTTCACTCCCCCCAAATGGCCATAATGGCCAGAGCTGGCCTGGCCAAGACCAGGAGCCAGGAGCTTCTTCTGGGTGTTCCACATGGGTGCAGGGCCCAAGCACTTGGGACACCTTTCACTGCTTTCCTACGTGCATTAACTGTGGGATCAGAAGTAGAGCAGTCAGGGCTTGAACAGGTACCCATATGGGATACCAGCACTTCAGGTAGCAACTTAACCCTCTATGCCACAATGCCAGCCCCTGAAAAATAAATGGTAAGCTATTTTTCTTTTGAATGTTATTAATAATAAAGGATGTCATTAATAATGAAGCAGTCTGTTAACAGCTATTTTTAAACATATCCATTGCTCCAAACCTCTATGGGAATCTTAAGACATAAATGGTATCATTCTTTCCCTTTATAATTTACCAGCTGGTGAGGAACCAGTTTGAAATATGAGGAGTAGTAATATTGGAGGTGATGTACTGATACCTGTCTGTGCAGCAGGAGTTCAGAAATGGGTCTCACTGGGGATGGCTGTGGAAGTTAAGATGCTGCAGTACATAGAGGGTCACAAAGAGATTGTTTTGCTTAAAAGTAAGAATGTTAATAGTAGTTTTTATATATTTACTGCAGAAAAATATGTATGTTTAACATGACTACTGCCTGAGATTATTATGTATCCCATAATTGTTCTGATAATCATATGAATCTGCTGTTCAATAAATATTTGAGTAAATGAAAAAAATGCATAGTAGAGGATTTTAAATGAATTGTGATGTTAAATTGGTTTAATAATAGCTAATATTTGAGTACTTACTATGTTCTCAGTGTTGAATTAATTTACATACAGTGTCTGACCAAATTCTCACCATAGTCCTGTGATGTAAATATAGTTATTACCATTTTTTGTGGGTCAATAAATAGGCTCAGGATAATTGGGTAATTTCCGCTAGGTGACATAAGCAGTGAGCAGCGGAACTGGGATTTAAATCTTGTGTGATGAGTGTGTGCCCTCTTGGCCTGTCTCTGTGGTACTCTACATTTCCCACAGAATCATTGCCAATTAAAGTCAGATTAGAAATATTGGGTGCTGTATGTTCAGTTCCTCATTTAACTTATGTAGAAACAACCTAAATAAAATCCATTAGAATGACCATAATAGAAAACTGTTTCTGATAAATTCTTATATATAAACTTGCGCAATAATTTTTATCTAAAAGATGTGGGCAGACAGTATAGTAAATTATCATTATTTCTAATTTGGTTTGAAAACCATCCAAGCAGTGGTTTCAGAAAAATACTGGAAACATGTATAAAGCCCCTATTTGCTGTGTTGGTCACATTTACTATGAAGCTGCCTGTAGCTGGAAATGGGTCTTTTGTTCTGTGCATTGGCACCACCAGTTCCACACATTTAGCATTTGTGGAATACTTTTCTTAAGGAAATTTAAAAAATTCGCAGATTACTTATATACATATTGGAATTCAGGGAGTAAAAGGCATTTTGCATCAATAAACAACATAAAGTTGGCATAAAGGTTTGGAAATGAAGAATTGCCTGTTAGTTTTGAGACAGTGTTTATTGTGCAAAATATAAATACCAGGGGGCCAACATTGTGTCATAGCTGGTAAAGCCATTGCCTGCAATGCCAGCATCCCTGTGGGTGCCAGTTTGTGTCCCGATTGCTCCACTGCCAATCCAGCTCCTTGCCAGTAGCCTGGAAAAAGCAGTGGAAGATTACCCAAATACTTGAGCCCCTGCCATCCACTTGGGAGACCTGGAAGAAGCTCTGGGCTTCAGCTTGTCCCAGCCCTTGCCATTGCGGCCATCTGGGAAGTAAACCAGTGGATGGGAGATCAATCTCTATTTCTCCCACTCTCTGTAAATCTGACTTTCAAATAAAAAATCTTTAGATATATATATAATAAATCAAAATTGGGTTTGGGGTATATCCAACATTCTGTGTTCAAGATGACAGTTTGAGAGGACTAGGATTATGGTGTGTTTTTGTTTTGTTTTGTTTTTTCTGATTTAGGCCCCTTTTCTCTAGTACCAAAGTACTGAATGGCAAGCACTTAGATATGCAAACTTGTTAATAGATGCATTGCATTATAATAATAAGCAGATGCCAGTGCTTGGGGAATATGCCTCTAAACTATCCAAGACCTCTTAGAAAAATGTATGAAAGAAGATATTCATTCCTTTCTTAGCTCTTTCTTTGGTTGACCAAAAAAAAAAAAAGGCAGTTGGTAAAACATTAAAGATTGTGGTAAGTAAAAATTAACATGTACATGTACAAAACTTAAACTGAGGGGCTGGCGCTGTGGCGCAGGAAGTTAAGCTGCCTTCTGCAGTGCTAGCATCCCATATGGCCATTTTGTTGCCATCACCTATAGTAAAAATGGATTTCTTCTGTGCCTGCTCCTTAGAATCAATAGTTCCTTATTCAAAACAGGAAGAGAATATGTTTGACAGGTAGAATAAAGGTCATGCACTCACATCATACATGAAAGGTGTCCTGGAGGGGCCCGTGTTGTGGTGTAGCAGGTTAAGATTCCACCTGCTGTGCCAGCATCTGGTTTGAGCACCAGTTCATATCCCAGCTGCTCCACTTCTGACCTGGTTCCCTGCTACCGGCCTGGGAAAAGCAATGGAGAATGATCCAAGTGTTTGGGCCTCTGTACCCATATGGTAGACCCAAATGAAGTTCCAATCTTTGTCCTGGCCATTTGGGACCATTTGGAGAGTGAACCAGTGGATGGAAGGCCTCTCTTTTTCTCTCCTTTCTCTCTGTAACTCTTTCAAATAAAACAAATAAATCTTAAAACAAAACAAAACAAAACAAAACAAAACCTTAAACTGGAAACTGGATGCTAGTCACTTTTTTTTTTTTTTTTTTTTTTTTTTTTTTTTTTTTTTTTTTTTTTTGACAGGCAGAGTGAGAGAGAGAGAGAGAGAGAGAAGGTCTCTTGCGTGTCACCTCAATGGCCGCCGCGGCGGCGCGCTGCAGCCAGCACACCGTGCTGATCCGATGGCGGGAGCCAGGAGCCAGGTGCTTTTCCTGGTCTCCCATGTGGGTGCAGGGCCCAAGCACCTGGGCCATCCTCCACTGCACTCCCTGGCCACAGCAGAGGGCTGGCCTGGAAGAGGGGCAACCGGGACAGAATCCGGCGCCCCGACCGGGACTAGAACCCGGTGTGCCGGCGCCGCTAGGCGGAGGATTAGCCTAGTGAGCCGTGGCGCCACACCAAAATGATTATAGTCTAGCCTGCAATTCCCACATTTCTTCTCTAAATGAGAATTAAATGGTTAGACTCTTAAAAGGATGAACATTTAACCCAATGTAACAATGATGAATAAACAACAAGTAAACTTTTCCCAACGAAAGGTAATTTGATGTGATTATCAAAAATCAGATTAAAAAAAGAAAAATGCTGGTTTCAGCTTTTAACTATATGGATACCACTGCCTAAAGAAAAATTCTTTTGCCCCTAAATTTGTTTTCAGGTGAGTGTACGCTCTCTAAACCCTAGTAACGGAGTGGTTTATCTCATTCCTTTTCATGCATTCAAGTCTCTGCCTGGCATGTAGGATGATACTGCTGTACTCACTTGGTACTTTTTCACAGGTGATGACCTCACTATTTATGGAGTCGTAATGCAACGTTGGAAGCCCTTTCAACAAGATGTGCGCTGTGAAGTGGAGATAGTCTTGAAAGCCAATTACGTCCAAGTAAATAATGAGCAGTCCTCGGGGGTTATCATGGATGAGGAGGTTCGGAAAGAATTTGAAGATTTTTGGGAATACTATAAGAGTGATCCTTTTGCAGGTTTGTGATTAAAGGCATGAAGCTGATAGTTTTAATGGCATTACATTTTAGATATGATGTATTTGGGATCGGCCTTGCATGCTATATAATTCAATGGCTGTGTACAAAGGGGAGTAGCGTCAGTCAGTGCCTCTAACTATATTCTTCCTTTGAAGATAAAGAGAAAGCTGTCATTCACTGGCATACCCCCAAATGCCTGAAGTGGCTAGACAGCTGAAGCCAGGAGCTGTGAACTCAAAACAGGTATCTCACATGAGTGGTGGGAACTCAATTACTTGAGCTGTCACTGCTGCCTTTCTGGGTCTGCATTAGCAGAAAGATGAAGTCAGGAGCTGCAGATGGGAAGTGAACCCAGATACTCCAGTGTGGATCATGGGTATCTTAGCCAGTTCTTAAGCACTAGGCCAAACACGCAACCCTGGCATAGTCTTTTTCTACTTAGAGATCTTTCTGGAGATATTTCATTTCTGTTATTTTAAATACTTGTTATATGGCCAAAACAGTTTCAAGGTTTCCTACCTTCTTTATCAATTTAAAATGCAGTTCCTCTTTAAAAAGGCAAAAATCATCCTATGATGAAATCTCTCAGTTAAAGCTGTCAATCCTTTTCTGATGTATTTTCAGTACTAAAGACAGTTTCACCTATTTTAGCTGTAGATGTTAAAATAGAGAATAGGAAAGAAGTGATCAGAGACAGAAGATACAGAGAATTAGCTGTGTCATCACAGCAGAAATTTTGATGGTGACAATAAAATGTAATTACTTAGAATAAAACATCTCAGGCTTTGGGTTTGCAATGGTTTTTATTGAAAAATCCCAAATGTATAAAACATCAATTAAATCTTCAAATGCTTGTTTTCATTCTTCCTTGGAGGTATCCTTTGAGAAAAACAAACTGAAGCCAGTTATAGACTATTTCTAGTAAACATTACTGTTAGTCTTTTTAAATATTTATTTATTTATTTATTTTGAGAGGCAGACTAAGACAGACCTCCCATCCACAGGCTCACTTCTCAGATAACCACAATGGCTGGGACTGGGCCAGGCTGAAGCTGGGAACTGGAAATTGAGTCCAGGTCTTTAGGTGAATGGCAAGAACCTATTGCTCCTGCCTCTCAGAGTATGAATTAGCAGGAAACTAAGATAGGAGTTGGAGCTGAGTATCAAAGTATCTTATGGATGATTTTATACTTAAATTATATGCTGAACTAGAAAGATATTATTTCATAAAATAATTTGCTTAAATAAATGGGTACGTGTGTGCAGCACATGCATAGCAGTTAACTGGTCTTCTTTTTAAAATCTAGTATACAAAGAACCTAAAGTTTTCTACATTGAGGCTTAATAAAGAAGCACAGTAAGAATCACATATATTTTCAAGTGGGGTTTTCAACTGAAAGTAGTTTCTTACAGTCAGGTCCTTATAAAAATCTGTTTAACTCCTAGTCCCTGTCATTCCTTATTCATTCAATTCTACCTTGTAACACTCAAGGAAACCCATCATACCATCCAAACCAGAGCTTCAGAAGCACTTTGTGCTGGTAAGTTAATTAGAAAGCTTATTAGATAAAAGAAAGAATAAACTTGTAAGAAATATAAGTAGGAAGGTAGCAAGAAAATTAGGCAACATTGTTTCTTTTTTAAAGATTTATTTAATTGTTTTGAAAGAGTTACAGGGAGCGATGGAAAGAGAGATCAAGAGAAAGAGAGAGCTAGCAACAGAATCTTCCATCTACTAGTTCACTCCCCAGATGGCTGCTATGGCCAGGGCTGGACCAGGCTGAAGGCAGGAGCCAGAAGCTAGAAGCTTCTTCCAAGTCTCCCATGTGGGTGGCAGTAACCCAAACATTTAGGCCATCTTCTGCTGCTCTTCTCAGGCCATATGTGGGGAACTGGGTCAGAAGTGGAGCAGTGGGCCTCAACCCAGCACCCATGTGGGATGCCAGCATCACAGGCAGCAGTTTTACCTGCTGTGCCACAGTGTTGACCCTCACTTTTACAGGCAGCAGTTTTACCTGCTGTGCCACAGTGTTGACCCTCATTTTTCTTTTCAGTACCATTGAATTCTCCCTTAGTTTCTCTGTACCACCACTTGTATGCTGTATTTCACTATTTCAAAGTATACAAAGGTAAAGGTAGGGAACTGTATCCTATAGCCATCTTCATTTTGCCAGTCTAAAGGTGGAGATTGCTTCACTTCTCCTCTCAGAAGTTAAGCTGATGCATTAAAACCTGATATTGTGGATATTTGACTAGGGTAAGTTGGGGAATATTATTTTGATCTGCAGTGACCTAAGGGATCTCTTGACTCTAGTACTTAGATTCTGAATAAAAATTCAGATGTAGGAGATGGGATCTGTTGGGTCATCTGAACCTACTCTGGGATAGCTTAGATACTTTAGAGATACCAAGAGATTCTGTTTGTTGGGATAATTAGGCCACAGCCACATAACTGACATGGTACAGAATCTTAAATTTGGAGGCTGGGGTGACATTTACCCTAATATACTCTCTTCCATGAACAGTCATGGGAGCTTCGACTGCCATGATCCGACAAACAAGTTTTTTCAACTTAAAAAAACAAATATAGGATAATTACCCTTCCCTTTTGCTTTTCTCTGGCACCCCAGTCCTTCATAGAATTTCTTTCATGCTGGCTACAGTGTGAGGAACATTATGATCAGAATAAGCATATTCATTTAGGTAATAAAATAGTTAACAGTTAAGTAGCTCCTATGTGCCAGCTACTGTTTCGGTAAACTTATTAACTCTTTTAGTCTTCAACAGTTCTATATAATACCATTATTATCTCCATGGTACAAGTAAGGAAATGAAGACAGAGAGCTTAAGAAATTTGCCTAAGGTCCAACAGCTGGTAAATGATAGCACTGGGATTTGAACAGAGATGTGCCACCAAAGCCTGTGCTTTTTTATTGGGGTATGCTTTCTACCAGCACAACAGTCACTGAATCCATCTTCACTCAACAAAGCTAGTTCTTTAAATAAATTTTGGTGTGCATAACTTCCGGTCAGTTTTCCTTGTTCCCTTGTATGTCTAATCTCTATAGATTTGGGTCAGAATTTACCTACCTGCTCTCAGTTCTTATCTGCTTAAGATCTTTGACCTTTTTTCTTCTGGGCTTTCTACTTCAGGAAAGTAAGGGATTCCCTCTGACAGTGAACTTCCTGGATTTACTAAATCTTTCTTGTTCTCTTGTTCCTAAATTATTCTTTCTTCACCATTTTTGTCATCCCAAATCACATCACCATAGCTTAGTTGCCACCGAGTCAACTTTGATTCCTTACAAAAAGCAGCTTTTATGTATAGGGCCATAAATTGTGGAAAGCCTGGGTAGAATTTTGTAGATTAGGCTGGTGACTAAATGAAGTATCTACTTTATTCATGGATGGGATAGGCAGATTCTCAGATTTGGTGCTTTGGTATTTCTTAAAACAGAATTTAAAACAGTGGTACTCATCTATATAGAACACATATGCTCTTAAAACTGTATATGTGAAATAAATGAAATCTGTTCCCTTTAAATTTTAAACACACACACACACACACACACATACAAATAGAATTCCAAGTCTGAAGCTTGGATTGCTAGGGTTGTAGTTTGCTGTGATCTTCTTCGGACTTTTATACTCCAGTAACTTATTCCAGAAGAAAAAATGTACCAAACTGCTCAGAGCAAATGCTGAACTGACTGGAAGGGAAAATTGATTTTGCTTCCCTTCCACTTTTGGAGAAACTCTTTGTGAGCTCCATCTGCTCACAAAGGTCCCTGCTCTTACAATCTAACTCCTCCTTTCTGAGACTGAACACCTCCTTCCTTTTATTTAGGGCACTGGGGGCAGGGGCCCAAGTACTTGAGCCATCTTCCACTGCTTTCTCAGGCAAATTATCAGGGAGCTAGATCAGAAGTGGAGCAGCCAAGACTCCAGGTGGCACCCATATGGGATGCCAGTGTTGCAGGTGGTGGTTTAATCCGCTGTACCACAATGCCTGCCCAATAAACATCATTTGGTTAATAATGCCATGAGGTGAAAAGTCTGCTTTTTATTTTTAAAGATTTATTTATTTATTTGAAAAAGTTACAGAGAGATGGAGAGAGATCCTTCTTCCATCTGCTGGTTTACTCCCCAGATGGCTGCAACCACTAGGGCTGGACCAGGCCAAAGCGAGGAGCCAGGACCTTCTTCCAGGTCTCCCACATAGGTAGCAGGGGCCCAGGCATTTGGGCCATCTTCCCTTGCTTTTCCCAGGCTGTTATCAGGGAGCTGGATCATAAGTGGAGCAGCTAGACACAAACAGCTGCCCATATGGGATGCCAGCATTGCAGGCAGTGACTTTACCCATTACACCATGATGCTGACCCCAAAAATCTTTATCCCTGGATGCTACCTTCTTAAATTTCGATAGCCATACTTTAAAAGGTACATAAAGGAATCTCCTTTTCTCCCTCATTATTACTTATGAGGAAAATTAATCCTTAAAATAATACTTGCTAGACTTTCTATGTGTATTGTGGTAAAATCACTCCAGTGGGTAGGAGACCTGAGAGAGTTCCAGGCTCCTGCCTTCACCCTAACCCAGCCCTGGCCATTGTGGCTATTTGAGGAACGAAAGAACAGACTGGAGATACCTCTCTAATTCTGCCAATTTCAAATAAATCAATAAATTTTAAAAAACACGTTTAGAACCAAAATAGTTATTCATTCCATTTAGTCTTTTGGAATTGTCCTCTTGATTGTTTCAGATGGTAGAAAAGGTATATTTATAGGAAAATGATCAGTTAGAATAGAAAGGGCACTTTCAGAAAAGATTTCTTAAAAATTGTTAACTTCTGATCTTTGTGCTTTCCATAGGAAGGAATGAAATACTGGCCAGTTTGTGCCCTCAGGTGTTTGGGATGTATCTAGTAAAGCTTGCCGTGGCCCTGGTCCTCGCTGGTGGGATTCAAAGGACTGATGCTACAGGAACACGGGTCAGAGGTTAGTGAAAAAATAATTTTGAGAAATGTTAATATACAGAAACAAGATTTTTTTTTCTTGATAAAAACTACTTGCTGAATTTTATTTTCCAAATGTAATATTTTTAAAGCTGTCATGTGTCTAAATATCTTACTTAGTCCAGCATCTGTATATTATAAGCTACTTTCTAGAATTCCAGAAAGACTCAATGGAATCTTAAGTTCTTCAATGGGTACATGCCAAGATAATTCAAATAGTAAAAAATGGATTTAAAATGTTTATTGTGGTGCAAAAAATTTTTGAAATATACACATAGATTTTTCATAATACTCATGTTCCATGAGCTCTTTCAAAACCCCTTGTATTTCTGTTCTAGTAAGGGTGCTGCAAGAAAATCTTTACATTTCTATTACTGTAAATGTTTTCCATTGGATCTCCAGTCAGTCCTGAAGAGGAATAGAATAGCAAGTACTGCTTAATGTCTTCAAGTCACAGCTCCCTATCAGTGATTGTTGGTATGTTTCTGTGACTGCTGCTCCCAGTCATCTGCTGATTTCCCTTCTGCTTAAATGTGCCAGTATGCCATCTGCCATGACTTGCTACTGTGGACCGGCCACACATTCGAGCAAGGATTACTCTGAGTGTGTAATTATGTCTGGATGGGAGAAAGCTCATGTGCAACTAACATAATTAACTGACTTGAATCTGGCATAAAGGTGGTTTATCATGGCCCTCAGGTGGACCATGATAACCAAAAGCCTAAATCAAAAGACAAAAAGGACATTATTGTAATCAAACTGTTGGTAGGGACTCAAAATAGTAAGTATTAAGTTTGTGTGTATTATGTTTTGTAACCTGTTTGCAGGGTACTCTGCTAAATATTCAGGTCAAATAAGGGTTTCCTATTGATACATTTGTAAAATACTTGAGCATTACTGAAGAGATTTGTTTGATTAGTAAGATAATGCACCTACATACCATGGGATATTCATGTTCATTTGAGAGTACTTTTAAAATAAGGTCCCCTAACAATTCTAAGTGCTTAGATAAAAATAGAATAAAATCTTGTATGATTTATATGGAAAACTTTAATCACTATAGTTTGGAATTTAAAAACAGATTAAATTGAACTTTATAAGCCAAAATTTTTAAAATGTTAAACACAGACTTAAACATCTGGAAATAACATATAGCCTATTATAATTTAGATTTTAAATATCACATGCAGTAATCAATTAAAGATTGTATTTATGACAGTTAATTTCTAAAGATTTTCTAATTAAATTCTTCCTCAAACCACTTTATATAGCAAAAATATTATATATAAAATAAATTGTGTTGGCATTCCAAGCGGACTATTTTCTTTCTAATTATACCTTATTCACAGGTCATTTATAGAAATTGAAAATGTCAAAGATTTACTTATTCTTATTCTAGGTGAATCTCATCTTTTATTGGTTGGGGATCCCGGGACAGGGAAATCTCAATTCCTCAAATACGCAGCAAAGATTACACCAAGATCTGTGCTGACCACAGGAATCGGATCTACTAGTGCAGGTATTTTCCATGACAGTTTCAACTATTTTAACATTACTACAGAAGCTAACACAGTAGTTTTCTTCTTAAGGAAAAAAAAATCACCTATAATAGGATAATTTTGAAAGTTACTGTCAAAAATGAAGGAAATAGGTATTGTGGCTTTTGTGTCTCTAAGAAATATTTTTTAAAGTACCACCTTTATGTATCATTGCATGTTAGTTTGGAATGATCCTGTTTGATTTTCTCATTTTCTAGTGTGTACTTCCATATGTGTGCATGCAAGAAAATAAACATGTCATCCGGTATTTTATGAAGAAAGACCCAGAAAACAAACACTAAAGTAAACAGGAGGAAATTTCACTTTACAAAAGTAGATGGGGTAGAGCTTAAGGCATTTTTATATTTGTACCTCATTCACAAGAGCAGCTCCTACTGGAATTTCTTAGGTAGAAATTTGTCTTAGTAATTGGCGCCTCATTCATCCATTGCAATGGCTGTTTAAAAGCCTTCGCAGTAGAACGTCAAGATGTGATTATAAAGTGACAGGGATTTAGGAAAAAGTTATTTTTAAAAAATGTGTACTGATGTTATTTTGTAGTTTTAGAGTATTGATCTTAGTAGTAGTTCTAAAAATAGCTCCTTGGTTTCACCCATTTATATGTTATTTGCTACTATATAAGGGCTTTTAATTTCCATGGGTTATGCTCACATTTCTCATAAGCATGTATTTATCACACAACAGAAAATGCTCTAGTAATGAATCTAAATATGTGGTTAGATGTTAAGGAGCTTTCAGGTTTTGAAATATAAATATAACTGAACAATACATTAAGCATTGACAAGAAAGGGTTTGTTAACTGAGAGGAGTGGACGAGCTTCAGGATACTGTAAGGGAAGTAGATAAGAATATTTAAACAACACTTCCTGTGCATTTTAAAATCTATGATTCAGTGTTCTAAAGTTCTTTCAAGTGTTACTAATAACAAAGATGTTTCCCAAGTAATTACATGGAATGTTTCCCAAGTTACTATATGGAATGTCAAGAAACTAGTCTAAGCTATCATATGGGCTACTAGTAATTTCAGACTGTTTAGGCAGTTTTAAAATGAATGGCTGTCTATTGTCACTGTATTAATGAACTAGTGTAAAAGTATATTAGCACTTTTCTTTCTTTTCTTATGCCAAGATAAAAATATGAGAGAAAAGACAGAGGAAATACAAATTTTAGAGTCAGAAAAGATACTGCTACTTCTCACTTTGAAAGGGCCAGACTTGTATTGCAACCCTTTAGAGTCATAAAAGTCAATTCAGTGAGTCAAATTGGTACTTTGAAAATGAAATGCAGTAAAAATCAGAATACTGCACATAGTAAAGGTACACTAAGGGGGATAAAACACTAATGGGTACACGTTTCTGGTAATTTTTAATGAAAATACACCCTAGCATTATAGGCTCATTAAAAAAAAAAAGGAAAAAGAAGAGGCCAGCGTCACGGCTCACTAGGCTAATCCTCCGCCTGCAGCACCGGCACCCCGGGTTCTGTCCCTGTTGCTCCTCTTCCTGTCCAGCCCTCTGCTGTGGCCCGGGAGTGCAGTGGAGGATGGCCCAGGTCCTTGGGCCCTGTACCCCATGGGAGACCAGAGGAATCTCCTGGCTCCTGATCAACGCAGCGCACCGGCCGCAGCACACCATCTGTAGCGGCCATTTTGGGGGTGAACCAACAGAAGGAAAACCTTTCTCTCTGTCTGTCTGTCTCTCTCACTGTCTAACTCTGCCTGTCAAAACTCCTGCCATAGGTTTGCTAGAAACCTCAAATCCTAAAACTAGTGAATAAAACCACCTACAAGCCTAAGGTTATATGATGCTATGATGGGCAAATACAAACTTGCTTCCTCAGACTTCCTAGATGTTGCTGAGCTCAAATGATAACCTTGTTCCCTCCAACCTGCTTGACTTACCTTTTCAGTGGCATAAATAATTTGTTCATGTTTACATTCTCAGGATAAGCTATTTACTGTGATCAGGAAGGGGAAAATATCTTCAAACCTTCTAGCTATTATTTGTATATAGTGTCTATAAATGAGGCTAAACAGGAAGTCTTGGAGCTGCAGTTTTAGTTTTTGTATTTAAAAATTCATGAAGCCATAAAATTTAAGATAACAGATCATAGTTTCTAAATCCCAAACTTCAATGAAAATTTATAAATTGATATAAAAATCTAACACTTTGTCACCTGACACTGATCATAATTAGAATAAAAACTCAGTAGTGAGTTGCTTTATTTGGTGATCTAGCTATACATACTTTATTTCTAACAAGTACATCTTGTTATATTAATCACTGAGCTTTTTTGAAAAGTATTTTATTTTTATTGTTTAACATTTTCTTTTAATTGCAATTAGACAAAAATGAGACTCTCAAACTTTTAACAGTCAGAAGTATTTTAACTTTTAAAATCTATGAACTAGTTAATGGACAATATTTTAATAATCTGGTATTAAATTTCAAGATTTAACACTTAGCGAAACTTTGCTTCACAAATTCACTTTTATAGCACTTATTACAACCTAGAATCCATATTTAAATGCCCTTTCCTTTCCTGAAAATAAACTTTTAAAAGTGCAGTATAAAAGTTTTAGATATGAAGGCACTGCATAACCTGCATCATATGGCTGTCGTGCTTTGCAGCGAGAATAAAAATAATATTCTACCCTTACTTTAATGGAGCATAAAGAATTTCTGAAGAAGGACCTAACTCTCAAAGAAAACAAAACTTTTGGCCCATCTGGTTTATGAATTCCTTTCCAAGACTGCTTTTCAACAAGTTGTAATCTGGCAAAGCTACCTAGAATATGTCCACCATGCATAATATCTGATCTTATTCTTCATGACTGTAAGAGGATATGGGACAAGGTAGTATTTCCAAAGCAGTAAATTATATATTTTGATAAAGCTAAAATACTTTTCTAAGTCTACTTTTTTTTAAGTACTGCCAACAATAGATGACTACGAGTTTTTAAAAGTTCTCACTATTTTTATAAATCTAATGAGCAGATTTGAGCCATTAAATCTTGTATCCTTAAACTTAGGAAGTATTTGTTCTTGACTTGCTGAATTCACTGGGCAGTAATGATGAGCAATTCAAGAAGTGCTCTGATGTCTTAATTTTGTATAACCATTATAAAAACAAACACCATAGCCCAAAGAACTTTATAAACATGTAGGTACATTCGTTATCTTAGAAACTAAAGCAAATGCTGCCCCACATTACATTAATTGTAATAGTAACCATAAAAGGCTTCAGGGTGGCCTGAAAAGGACAGATCCTAAAGTCCTTGGTAGCATATAATTCATTTCAATCCCCCTTTTAAAGTCATGCCAAAAAGGAATGGAAAGTTTCCCCTTAAATTAAAACCACACTTTATGTTTTAACAGGAAGAAACATCTTAGTTGAAGTGAACTTTCTTTTTTCAAAGGCCAGAAAAAATAATGTTCCAAAGATTACTGTCCGAGAGGCTAAGACATCTTCACAACCTGGTCTAAGGATTTATATTTTTCTTTATAAGTGCTTTAATTACATATAAAGGAGAAGAAAAATAATATATATGCTTTAATCAAATTAGTTTCAGAACAAATAAAATAACACATTAGAGAAAAAATTACTTAAAAATAGTTGTATTTATATTCCACAATTTGCTCAAATACTGGTTTTCTTATAAACTTTCTACAGGATGTTTTTAAACAAATTCTTCACATTTTGTCTTGACTATGTACTTACGGAATTTCAGGGAAATAGTTCTGTGTATTTTTAATAGCTTAATTTGTACTAAAGGGATGGCAGGTGGTCACATGCAGTCCATGTGGGATTCTAACATGACATTTAGTGAGTTTTCTGACGTGGACCATCCCTTTGAGGCAGAAGGTAATGCATCTGTTGACAGAAGTGACTGTAGATTTGGATTACTGCTCTCTGCATCTTCCAGTTTTTCTGTGTTGTCTTCCCAATTAATGTGGAATCTTGTGACCCTGGGATTAGATGCCAAAATGTTCCTTTGAAGCTAGAAGAAGGAAATATATAAATGGTAAACATTACCAAAGTTTAATCACCCTATGCAAATAGATACTTAAAGAAATGGGTCCTTTATGTTAGCACTCCTGAAGGGTTACGTTCATATACAGAAGTATAGGACAAATAAAGCACTTTAGCATAACTAATAAACAAGGACTAGGACCATAGCAATTATTTTGGCTTAATAGGAACAAGATATGGAGAATCTGAGGGAATTCATTCAGATCTTTTACTATACTATGAAATATCTATTCTTCTACTCTTGTACTTCTATTTCCTAAGAAGGGAAAGAAAATTTCTCCCAAATACATCTTCTTGCTATTAGTGATTTCCTACCTTTTAAATATTATGGTTCATTTTTGGAAACAATAGTCTAGTTTCTTCTCTTTTCTGTTGTACAAGTTACCAAACAGATAACCAATAAATTTGATCTATGAAAGGATTGGCCAGGATGAAAAACATTCTAGCCTTATTACCAGAAAGTTGAACTTTATTCTACTGCCATGTGACTTTCCTTGTATTGCCTGGCAGACAGAGGGCCCTATTCAACTTCACTTGATTTGCACCCTCTCAAAATCACCAGTTAGTAAACTGTTACAGTTCCCAATGAAAAACCATAAAGGTACTAAGTATCCTTGAGAATAATGAATCACAGATTTCAGCTTCTCAGTGTTTAAGCTATTTGCTATCACCTGAAATATTTAAGACCTTTACTTTATCTGCTGTTCCTACAGAATAAAACTAAAGCATATAGGTACTTTGATATAAGCATAGATAACTGTTTATATGAAAAGCAGACACAAACACAGACTTCCATGTCATAAAAGCTGAAGTGAACATGATCTATGGGAAATGCCATATAAGAAGCAGTAAACAAGTGCCCATTTCTTATCAGAGATACTTAATGACTTGCATAGAGAAAGGGTTTGAGGTCACCCATGGTAAGGGAACAATGATTAGTTTGCCCAGCTGGCCCAAAGACATCAAATTTACTTTGTCTCAAACTGCCTAAAAAATTGTATAGTAACAGTAATTAAAAAGGAATAGTAAGACATTACCTTAGAAAAGTCTGGTTTTACTGGCGGATTTTCCCTTAATTCTGTCTCAGTATATTCATTATTTACATAGTAGCCAACTCTAATAAATTCTTGACCTCGATAGGTACAAGTAATTAGCACAACTGTTACGCCTACTGCATCAGCATCTGGAATGAGTCCTGGATTAGGTGCATCTGCCTGGAATAATTTAAAAGAAACATACACAAAAGGCTGTTAATGGCAGGCGAGATTGGAGTTGTAGTTACCCTGAGCACTTTCAGTTGAACATGGAACAAGAAAAACTTGGAAATCACATTGGGAAGACAAATGCTTACATTTGGGATTGGCCTAAAGGTAGATATATAGCTCATGTTTCTCCACAGTATCCTCAAGTAGCTTCATTAAACTTCCAGAGGGAAATAATTCTGGTTACTGTGTGTGTTGGTTCATGAGGAATTATGCAAATTCATTATAACTTTTTATAAAATACTTAAACAATTTAATCAATAGTGCTATTGGTTTTAACTTTTTCCAGTTATAATTTTCAGACCTAAATTAGTAAATACTAAATTATTTCCACACAACCAGTTGGCAACAAATGTTTTTTATACCAGTTTTCCTTTTCTCCCCAGGACACTTATATTCTCGTACCTATACAACCACCTCTCACAAATATTCTAATAGTAATTTAGTATAAAACTGAACACAAATAGCTACACAGCAGATTTTTGTTTTTCTTTTTAAAAAGATTTTATTTATTTGAGAGGCAGTGTTACAAAGGGGAGAGAGAGAGGGAGGGAGGTAGGAGGGAGGGAGAGAGAGAGAGAGAGAGAAAGTAAGTCTTCATCCGCTGGTTCACTCCCCAAATGGCTGCAATGGCCAGAGCTGGGCTGATCCGAAGCCAAGAGCCAGGAACTTCTGGGTCTCCCGAACAGGTGCAGGAGCCCAAGCACTTGGACCATCTTCTGCTACTTTCCTAGATCATACCAAGAACTGGATTGGAAGAGGAGCAGCTGGGACACAAACTGGCGCCCACATGGGATGCTGGCACCACAGGCAGAGGCTTAGCCTACTACACCACAGCACTGGCCCCTGCACAAAACACATGAATAATCCTCTGTTGTGAAAAGCCATTTTACTGGACACTAAGATTTAGTGTGCTGTTTAAAATTCATATTATGAAAATCCAAAGGAAGTAAAGATTATTTTAGGCAGATGTCATCAAAGACATTTGTTTTTGAATCCTGTTGAACCTTGAGGAATGCAGAAGGGAAGCTAGACAGCTAGAGGAGGCTAGGGATGCTAAAGGCCATGTCCCTAGTAGCACACCAAACAATAAGGAGACGAATGGATGTAAGGAGCCACAGACTGAGGCATCCAACCTCGATCTAAGGCGAACATCCAGGGTAGTAAGTGAATGAAGTCCCAGTCAGCTAGCTTACTGCTGCTAGGCCACCAGGAACCTGTGTCCTACATCTAGTCATTCTCACCAGTTCTTAATTCTAAAGGCCAACTTCATGTCTTCATCTCTTTCTGAAATACTGTTTAACTTTCTAACTGGTCTCCCCAGTAAAGTACTGGTTACACTGCTACCAACATTAGCTACCTAAACACAGATCTTATTCCTCTCTCTTAGCCTGGTTTTAAAACCTCAAATGATGATTTTCATTTCTAAGGGGTAAAATCTCACTTCTTGAATTTCATTTATAAGACCCTTCAGTTTGTCTCCAACTAACATCTCCAGTCATGTCTTAGATACATGAATTACCTAGGCTCTTTAAAATGTGATAATCTTTCTCACTTCTGTACCTCACACATACGTTCCCTGTTCCTTTGACTCGAAAGATCCTTTCTTTAAGGACCTTTTGACACTTAGAACAAATGAATCCTTCTCAGTGAAGCCCTGTGCCAGTCAGAAGGTGGATTCAGTGGCTTCCCTTTTTATGCACTTACATTGCTTGACACAAACCTCTACTAATGTGTGACCAACAATCTAAATATATTCTTCAGTCTTCCCTGTTAGGCTCTAAGCTTTCTGCAGGGCAGGAGTCCCATGCAACTCATCTGTATGGTCTCATGTAGAGCACAACCACAAGCACTTACTACTTTGAAATTCATTCATTGCTCGGTTCTATCTTGTAGAAATTTATGATCTCTTTGGAAAGAGCCTATCTTGGAGAATCTTCAGCATCCCAAGCACCATTCCTGCCCCACAGAAGTATCTGGAAGTGGGTTGAGATAGTTCAGTAATGCTGTCCTCCATATTGCTACCCATACCTTCAGCAAATTGCTTAGACATGTTTGTGTTTTTGAAATTGTTTGCCAAAGGATTCAGCTTGAGCAAATATGAGTAGAGAGACCTGCAAGCTGGATAGCTCATTGAGGATACAGAAGTAATGAATAGAGATAGCTGACTGCAACCAACAATACTAGGCTGATATCTAGACATCTTCTTGCTACCTCTGGACCCATTCACAAGAAAGGCATCTATTTTCTGAGATGCAGAATCATGGCAGACTAGAAAAATATTATGTCAATGTGCTTAAAACACAAAGCATAAACTGGGGGCTAGTGCTGTGGCATAGCGGGTAAAGCCTCTGCCTGCAGTACTGGCATCCCATATGGGCACGGTTCTAGTCCTGGCTGCTCCACTTCCGATCCAGCTCTCTGCTATGGCCTGGAAAAGCGGTAGAAGATGGCCCAAGTCCTTGGGCCCCTGCACTTGTGCAGGAGACCCAGAAGAATCTCCTGGCTTCTGGCTTCGGATCGGCGCAGCTCCAGCAGTTGAGGCCATCTGGGGAATTACCCAGCAGATGAAAGACCTCTCTCTGTAACTCTGCCTTTCAAATAAATAAATAAATAAAAAAAAAAAAATTGTACTTCAGTCTCTCTGTGTTGACAGTGATGAATTTTTTAAAATGCACAGGTGAACATGTGGCCTAAATTACCTAAATCGTCCTTTTTGGCAACATGTACACTTATAACAAGGTTAGCTACTTGAAAATCACTAGAAGGAAGTATTTTTGAATTTTTTTTTCCTATACCACTCTAAGCCAAAAGCTTAGGAGTGGTCCTAACAATGCAAATACAAAAAGACAATTTCTAATGATTTATTTAAAAAAACAAGGCATTTCTAAGTTTTTATTGGTAGCATGAAAAAGGTTTCTCACTACACATCAACCCAAGTTTCTTGTACTACATGATGAATCATCATCAATAAAATATAAGCCCCAGGTTTATGGGTTGAAGAAAATCCTGCGTGTGTACATGAAGCTAAAAGAATGAAAATTTAGTTCTATTAATAGAAATAGGGTACTATGACTGGTCTTTAAAAAGTTTGTGAAAAATGCATATTATGAAAAACTTTGGCTTTCAAAAATGTTTGCACCAAAATAAACAATTCTAATATTTCATGAATTTTTAAATGTAGTATATATATATATATATTTTTTTAAGATTTGAAAGGCAAAGATACAGAGAGAGAAGGAAAGAGAAACAGAAAAGCTTCCAGCTGCTGGTTCATTCCCCAAATGGCTGCACTGGCTGGGGCTGGGGCAGGCTGAAGCTGGGAAGCAGGAGCTTCTTCCGGGGCTCCCATGGGTGCCAAGGCCCAAGCACTTGGGCCATTTTCTGCTGCCTTCCCAGGCGCATAGGGAGCTGGATCAGAAGCAAAGCAGCCTGCACTCAAATCAGTGCCCATATGGCATGCTGGTAATACAGGTAGAGACTTAACCTTCTGTGCCACAGCACTGGCCCCTTTCCATGAACTTTGAGGTAAAATTATTTTCCACATGTTAAAGATGACAAGATGACTAAGGAAGGTTAGGGAAGTTGTCCAAAGTCACACATGGGTAATAAACAGAGGCACCAGGATTTATCAAGGTCTGTACCTACAGCACTTCCTTCTCTAGAACAGAGTGTTCCCCATTACCACATCTTTCACAAAGTTATGTCTGTACCTAATTCAGATTAACAGTATTTTTTAACTGATGTACTTGAGCCTCTTAATTACTATATTTGAGCTTCTGAAAACTGTTTAGATGTTATTTATTGCTTTATTCAATAAAAAGCACAAATGTCAGGAGATCAAGATTTTGAATTCTGTTAGGGAAAGGAGAGGAAAGGTAGCAGCTTTACAGATGGCTTGTGTTACAGTGATTCTTTGACCATTTCTCATGGGATAATTTGATTAACAGGATTCACTTAAATTGGGCCCAACTGTGAAGTGAAAAAACAGGGAGTTCAGGGATAAAAAGTATTAGATTTTTCTTTCTGGTTTAAGTCTTTTCAGTGGATTCGATTTAACTGATGGGACTGGCCAGAAATTTGAGAGTATTTCCAAAAGGTTATGGAAAACTGGAATTAAAAGTTTTTTTGGTGCAAGAGTTTTTGATATCAATGCAACAGTTTTACAGTATGCATTTTTCATTAATTTTCTAACTATCACTTATTTGCAACAAAAAATTAAACCTTTTTTTCTTTTAAACCTATGGCTGTTTACTATTTGAACTATTACAAATATCTCCCTCTAATAAGCATGAATAATTGAGAAATGACTGAATAGTTTTAAGCAGCAATTTAACACAGATTAAAAGAAATACTCTCAAATGCAGAGAAGAAAAATCACTATCAGTGGTGTCTGAGAACATAAATTATCTTAGCATTTTTCCTCAAACAAACAGATAGTGGGGTAGTGGATTTGTAGTAGCATGCCTCTATGAAGTGGTAGATAAGATGCTTTAGTAAAGCATTGGACTTTAATGATCCAAGATTAAACATTTCTATCTACTAACATAACTGTTAATATAGCTTAATTACTGAGTATGTCAAAATAAAGCTGCTGTTTTGTTATATTATCATCACTCCTACTGGTTGAAACCATAACCTAATGATGCATATTCCTAACTGGTGTGGTTACCATTACTACTGGCATAGTTAGTTATATGCATTTTGCATCCATGTTTTGTGCTGTTCAGTAGCCATCTTGAAAAGTTTCATACCAAGGGACTAGTCATGGAAGAGCCCCAACTTAACTACCAGGTATAAATGACACTTCTAAGGCTTACTGTATGCTGTGCATCTCCCTGAAGTAAGTAATTACATGAGCATTTCTCGGTATATAAAACCAAGAGGTACAGTCCCTACAGTGACCGAACCAGGACGGAAGCAGACTTAAGTGAATGCAACAGAAGCAGAGTGAATTAACGCAAAAGGAAAGGAGCAGGATTCCAATACTCCAATAAGACTATACAGTCTATTTAAAAATATATTTACCAAGATTAATCTTACCTGAAATACAAACATATGCCTTCCTGCAGGAACAGGGCCCACTAAAACAGAGTCTAAAACTTGATCATATTCTTCACTTTCTGCAGAGCCCACATAGATAATTTTCCATTCCAAGTCTAGGGTTAAAAACCAAAATATTATTAATATTCAGTAATCATTTATTGGTTGCTAAAGTTGTTTTCTCATAATAGACTCCAGAAAGGCAGTAGAATGCTTCTTATAAAATTTTTACCAGAATTCATATCTTACACTATAGTTTCTCAAAATTCTCTTTTGTAAAAAACTAGACAATGATTCTCAGAAACAACATAACAAAATCTGGAAAATGCTATATACTTTGTCTTGAAGATTTATAACAAATCACACTGGCCTAGTATGTCTGAGACAAACTTCACTAAAGAATAGTGGTAACATTAATCCAGCACTGCCCATATTTATTTGGCTATTGAATCACTTGCCCTCCCCAACTTTTTAAAAGATTTATTTATTTGAAATAGTGACAGAGAAGATCAGAGAGAGAGATTTTTATCTAATGGTACAGTCCTCAAAAACCTGCAACAGCAGAGGCTGGGCTATGCCACACTGAAGCCAGTATCTGCATCAGGATCTCCCACATTAGTGGCGGGAACCCACGTACTTGTGCCATCACCTGCTGCCTTCCCAGGCACATCCTCAGGGAGCTGAATTGGAAATGTAGAGTACCCAGGAACCCAGGCACACGAGAATGATATGTGGGTGTCAAGTGGTCTTTGCCATTTTTCTTGTATATCTTTTTTTTTTTTTTTTAAATGCAGAGACAGTGAGAGAAAGCTTCATCTACTGTGTCATGCCCCAAATGGCTGCAGCTCAGGATCCAGGAATGCAATCCTGCGTCTCTCACATGAGTGGTAGGAACCTAGTTACTTGAACCATCACTGCTGCTTCCCAGGGTCTTGTATTAGTGGGAAGCTCAAGCCAGTAGCCATGACTGGGAATAAAACCTAGGCACTTGGATAAGGGACACAGGCAACTTAACCAGTTAAACGCCATCTTATATCATCTTTTAAAAATCTCCTCAGTACTCTTTCATCAACCAAAATAAAGTTTGTTATTTTGTTATAAGAGTCATCACTCCTAGTGGCTGAAACTATAAACTGAAGATGCACATTACTAACTGTAACTGTGACTGACTGACCACAGTTGAGTTTTTTTATCCTCCATGGCACCCCATTATGTCATATGTTCTTTAACCTGGGGAGAGGAAAAGAGGAAACCAAATCCCTACATTGCATGAGAGTATGTACAGTGGGCATGAACCCAAGGAGTACAAGAAATGTTCAAGCGCAGCCCAAGACACTGTATGTAATTCAACCAGCAGACTTTATCGAGCCCCTTTTACAGTGTGCTCCTTAAGGAGAGCCCAGAGAGAGATTAATAAAACTGCTTTTTGAAGGAGCTGCCTCCTTAGTTGGGGGAGGAGGATAATTCTTTTTTTTTTTTTTGGCAAGGCAGAGGGGGACATTGGGGGGGGGGGGCCGGGGGGGAAGGTCTTCCTTTTGCCGTTGGTTCACCCTCCAATGGCCGCCGCGGCCGGCGCGCTGCGGCCGGCGCACCGCACCGATCCGATGGCAGGAGCCAGGAGCCAGGTGCTTTTCCTGGTCGGGGAGGAGGATAATTCTAAAAATACAAATGATCTCTGAGAGACGACTTCTTCTTAGGCTATTGTGTGGCCTGCCTATTAGAAGCACTCCACTGAGCCGACATAAGCATTGGCAAAGATCTGTGTTTTGGGGTCACTCATTAGAGTCTATTCAGGGCCACCATGTGCTGCCCTTCTTGTGTAACTCTGTAGATAACTTTTTTCCCCCTAAACTGATACTAGAAATAGCTTAACTGCTACTTCTTTATAGTTTTTTTTTTTTTTCTTTTTACAGGCAGAGTGGACAGTGAGTGAGAGAGAGAGAGAGAGAGAGAAAGGTCTTCCTTTTGCCGTTGGTTCACCCTCCAATGGCCGCCGTGGCCGGCGCACCGCGCCTATCCAAAGGCAGGAGCCAGGAGCCAGGTGCTTCTCCTGGTCTCCCATGGGGTTCAGGGCCCAAGCACTTGGGGCATCCTCCACTGCACTCCCTGGCCACAGCAGAGAGCTGGCCTGGAAGAGGGGCAACCGGGACAGAATCCAGCGCCCCGACCGGGACTAGAACCCGGTGTGCCGGTGCCGCTAGGCGGAGGATTAGCCTATTGAGCCGTGGCGCCGGCCTCTTTATAGTCTTACAAATTATGAGTTACAGAATTGAAAGCTCCTTTTTTGTCTTAAACTCAGTAATCATCTTCTGAGAGCCTGTTATGTTATGGTTCTGTCCTAGACCTTGTTCACTTAGATATCCAATTGGTAGCACATTTCTAGATGCAGAGTCCTGCCTCTGACATCTCATGAGCTCATGTATTTGATGAGAGAGACAGACAGAGGCAGAGAGACAGGGAGGGAGGGAGGGAGGGAGGGAGGGAGCAAGCAGAATTGAGTATCTTTTCAAAGGCAACAAAAAACCACTGGCTCAGAGTAAGCTAGGGAGAAAATAACCAACCATAAGATTAGAGATTAGAGGCATGCCCAGATCACACAAGGTTTTGAAGGTCCTAAGGACTCTGACTTTTATACTAAGTGGCAATGGAAGCCATAGAGTTTGGGGCAGAGGGACAGAATCTACGTTTCATTTTAAAGGATCATTTTGACCACTATGTTCAATAGATTTTAAGAGGACAGAGAAGAAACAGAAAAATATTTCAACAATTGAGGCAAGGGTAGTTTGGACCATGGCCAGGAGTGAGGCTGCAAAGCAATTACATTCTGGATTTTTTTTTTTAAGAGTTATTTATTTGAAAGGCAGAGTTATACAAAGACATCCTCCATCCACTGGTTCACTCCCCAAATGGCTGCTAAAGCTGAGGCTGGGCCTGGCTGAAGTCAGGAGTCTGGAACTCCCATCTGGGTCTCCCACATGGGTGCAGGGGGACCAAGGAGTTGGGCCACCTTCCACTGCTCTCCCAGGCACATTAGCAGGGAGCTTGTCAAGAAATGGAGCAGCCAGGACTCAAACTGGCACACGTAAGGGATGCTGGCATTGCAGGTGATAGTTTAACACTGTGCCACAACACCGGCTGCCTGCATATTTTGAAAATGCAAGCAGCAGGAGCCACTTTTTTTTTTATTAAGAGGATGAAAAGTAGGAGAAAATAATTAGTAGTTTTAGGCATGTTTCAGCTGTCTACTAGATACCTGAGTGGAGATACTGAGTAGGAAATTTGGGTATCCTCTCCCTTTTTCTTTATAACTGCCTTTCAAATCTTTTAAAAAATATGAATATTGGCAGTGTTGTATAAAACCATAAGGAGATAGGATTCCTAGAGATTGAACATTGGAGCTCTCCAAAGAGGTCAGGAAGATGAAGAATCAACTAAGGAGATTAGAAAACTAGTAGCTAATGAGACAGATGATCCAAAAGCCAAGAGAAGAAAATGTTTTTTGGGGGGCTGGTGTTGTGGTGTAGCAGGTAAAACCGCCACCTGTGAGACCACATCCAATACGAACACCAGTTTGGTTTGAGTCCTAGCTGTTCTACTTTTGACGCAGCTCCCTGCTAATGCATCTGGGAAAGCAGTGAAAGATGGCTCAAATCCGTAGGCCCCTGCACCTACATGGGAGACCTGGAAAAAGTTCTTGGCTTGGGTCTGGCCCAGCTCTGGCCATTGCTACCACGTGGGGAGTGAACTAGCAGATGGAAGATGTATCTTCCCCTACCTCCCTCTCTCCCTTCTCTCCCTCTCCCCCTCCTTTACTCTGCCTTTCAAACAAATAAATAAATGGTTAAAGAAAAAAATTGTTTTTAAAAAAGGAGTCTGAAAGCTACTAAACTAGCCACAGAAGGATAAGACTGAGAATTGTCATTTGAAGGTTTATTTGTACCACTACATATAATGCTCTTGTACTAATTGGTATGAGTTAAATTGACATTTGTGTCTGGCATAGGAACATGGCTATAATTTGTAAACTTACTTTTATAAAATACCTACTGTGTGCTGCACATTGATCCTGCCACGTCATACCTGTTATTTAAACCTCCACAACTTTATCATATCGTATCATATCATATCATCCCTATTATGCAAACAGAAAACTGAGACTCAGAGTTTAAGTAACCTACCCAGATTTCACAATTTGTACATTAAAGAATCAGGCTCTGTCTCTCCAACTAAAAAAATAAGATAGGGGCCAGTGCTGTAGCGTAGTGGGCTAAGCCTCCACCTGCAGTGCCAGCATCTCTTATGGGTGCTAGTTCTTGTCCTGGCTGCACCTCTTCCCATCCAGCTCTCTGCTATGACCTGGGAAAGCAGAAGATGGCCCAAGAGGTTGGGCCTCTGCACCGGTGTGGGGGGCCTCTGCACCGGTGTGGGGGGCCCCTGCACCGGTGTGGGAGACCCGGAGGAAGTTCCTGGCTCCTGGCTTCAGATTGGCAAAGCTATGGCCATTGGCGGCCATTTGGGGAAGAGAACCAGCAGATGGAAGACCTTTCTGTAATTCTGCCTCACAAATAAATTAATCTTTTTAAAAAATGTAAAGATAAATCTCCCCTTGCTCTCAAATTAGTAATAGAATTAGGGACTTAACTGTAAGGGGAGTGGGAGATAGAGAACAGAGGAATGGGGAAATAATCAAGCCCTAACAAGTACAAGATGCAACTGAAGGAAGGCCTGGACACTGATTTTTAATCTCATGAGAAGTTTGCTTTAGCTACTTTCAAATGTTTGGTGCTTTTTAAAATTAGCATCTTTTTTTTTTTTTTTAAAGCTTAGTTTTCATTTCCCTGCCTCCTATATTGGAAGGAGGAAGAGATAAGGTCAAAATTTTCCCTAGGCTTTCAGCTGAAGTAGTTTATTCATTTGTTGGAAGTTAACTAATTGTTTCATTTAATCATGATAACCCTTCCCTGAAAGTATCTCCTCATGTGGGGGGAGTGAGAGAAGTTAACAAGGAGATTTTAAGCTAATTACATTCCTTGAGAAGACCTATGGTCTAGTGGGAAGAATGCAGTCTTTGGAATTAGAGTAAGCCTGAAATTTGAAAATATGAAGCACTGTGCTTAATTCTGGTACATTGTAAGAATTTTGCCAACAGTAGCTATAAGTTGGACATATGTAGTAAACTTGAAAGTTTGCTTGAAGGGAGGTCAGTCAAAACTTGTGTAGGCCTGATGACCATCAGATCAAGCACAGGAAAGCTTGTGCTTAAATCTTGACACCTGGTTTTTCAAGGAGGATGTTAGAAACATCCAAATTATCTTAAGAGCAAATACTACAGAAGGCTTTTTATGAAAGCAAAGCTGCAAGGGCAGCTTTTAAAGAAAAGTGGGGAAAAAAATAGTGGCTGAACTCTGGTTTGGGACTTGGATAAACAGCTTATAAAGTGAAAAATTTTCTTAAGAATATTCTGTACTTTAATTTCAGGAAATGATTTTTAATAAAAGAAGTACAATATAAAATTATGGAGCCTATGAAGAGCCATTGCTAACTATTTCCTTAATCCACACAGCCTCTAGGTGGAGTACATAGGCATGGCACCTTTTTGAAAGATTCCTTTGCAGCTTCAGTATGACTCAGCTTAAATTTTTTTTATAAAATACTAAATAAATGCCCATTAATGGTACCCTTGAAGTGTGGGGTACCAGTGGAAGTAGGTGTATTCTTGACATTATTATTGTAAAAAGCTCAATGCGACCGAGCTGGGTTTGGGATACCAATTAAAGATAGAATATAGTTTGGCTACTATGAATGGAAGGTTTCCGCTACCCAATATAAAAGTCCTCTAACAGCATCTTGGTATCTGTCTTGTTCTGGGTTGATCCTAAAATGGAAGGCATCACTTCAGAAGTATCTGTAGTTTGAAGATCTTCTGATGCCTAAAACATTGTAGCATAGGTTCTTATTTGCCTGTTTTCATATGCAATTAGCAGTAAAAAAAAAAAATACTGATTATGGGGACTGGAAAATGGGCCTCCTGGCTGAGATGGTTACATGGTATAGTAGTGCTAAGAGAGAGTAATCAGATGGCTTCAGAATAAGAAAAAATGCCCTTTAATTTGATTATCAATGACCTAGGTAGAGATTAGTTTAATAAGTGAGTCATCTTTCTGACTACACCCTACACATAAAATTTATGTGCACTTATGCTTTACATGTTATTAAAACAGAAAGGCACATATTATAATGTTAAGTTTAGGGAGTGAAATGGAGGAAGGCAATGAGCAGGGACTGTTACTTTATGTCTGCACAACTTTTAAAAGTTTTACAGTGAGCATATATTGTTTTTATAATGAATGTTAATACACCACTAAAATACACTTCAGACTAAAAACTAATTTTTAAAATGAAAATGCTTTACATGATTATCCTAATAATTTTAAATATACTTTGTCAAATACATTTGTAAATTCAAGTATGTCTCCCTATTTAATTGTAAAATTTACACTGATAAAGTTAAATTTTTTTCCCCTCAAATTTTGAAAATGAAGCACTGGACTATTTTAATAAAATCTGAAAAAAGCAAAGCTCAGAAATTACCAAGTTCTGGCTTTCTAAACACTTTATTACTGCACGAATTAAAAACGTTTGTCTATTTTTGAAGACCTTAAGAAATACTAAAAAAATTGCATTTGCCATCAAGATTTTACTTTTTATTTCTTAGCCCACGTTGTGTGATATGTTAGGGTATATTCTGTATTTGAATGTGGAGTTTTAATTAGATTCTTGAATAAAGTCTTCGTTCAGACTATTTAGCAGCATGGTTAAATCTTGGAAAATTTTTTAAGGATCTCATTCATGTTTACTCGGGTTTAAATGTAACTTTCCAGCATAGCAATATTTTCCTCCCTGAGAGAGGAGAGAGGTTTTCGTCAATGAGGAAGAGGAGTCCACGCCGGTCCCGGAGCCTGCGCGCCAGCATCCCCAGGCGCCCCGAGCATCCCCAGCAGGAGAGCCGGGGAGGGCCCGCGGCCCCCGGGGAGCCCGCGGCGCGGAGGGGCCGAGCCTGCGCCCGCCTCCCCTGCTGGTTGGTCGAGGGAGCCAGGAATCAGCGCGAGGACAGCCTCGCTGCCCTCCCCGGTGCGGCTGGGCACGACCAGCCGGCGGAGAGGGGCAACTCGGCCGTGAGCTGCAAACACGGGTTTGCCTCCGGCTGTGGGTGGGGGGGCAGGCAGGTGGGCCGGCGCCGCGCCGCGTCCGTCACCGCCGCGGGGCGCGAGGAGGCGTCGTGACGCCGGGGTCGCCGGCCCAATTCTCAACTCGGGGTAAGATGGCTCCGCTCCGAACTCGCCGGCGCGACCCCACGCGCGCGCGCCTGCCCCTGCCCACCTCCACGCGGCGGCCGGGGGGCGCGGGGGCGGTTCGTACCGCGGAGCCAGCCCGGCGCGACCTCCCGGCCGGCGCCGCGGGCGCGAGTGCGGGTCCCGCGAAACGCCCGCCCGCCAGACAAAGCTGACAACATGGCTACCTCCGCTCGAACAAGTTCCTCGCAAGTTGAGCCGCGGCAGGCGCCTGGGCTGCGGCTGGAAGCCGCGCGCGCCTGGCCGGCCGTCGTCCATCAACTTCAAGTTTCCCTCCGCAGAGCCGAGCCCGCAGCCCGCCGGGCGCCGAGGGCGGCCGCCCCGCGCGAGGCCGGGCCCGGGAAACTTTCAACGTCTGCAGCCCGCAACTGACAGCCCGGGCGGGCGGGCGGCGCGACTCACCTTCAGACAGGTCCTCGATGCACTCGAAGGTGATCTCGAACTGGAACGGGTTGTAGAAAGGAGAAGGGTTATCCAGCACCACTACATTGTTCACCTGAACCTTTGCCATATTTTGAAAAAAACACAAACAATGGGAGCGGGGGCTTGTTGCGGCACAATAAAGTCCAGCCCGCGGCCGCTCGGCAGAGCGCAGACCCCCGCCCCGGCGCCGGCCCGACGTCGTGCAGCGGCGACTTGAGAAACTTTTTTTTTCCTCTTTTTATTTACACGAGAGCACTCCACAGTGTTTTGCAGCTTTCCTATTTCACTAAACTACAGCCCATTCTGCTCTGATAACTAGCAGCGTTGCTCGCGATTGGCTGCACCCGAGCTCTGACCCTCCTCCTCCAGCGAGGGCCTCGGCTGCGAGCAAGATGGGCTCCCGCTCCCGGAATGGACTCGGAAACTTTAACTGCGGCTCCACCTGCTGGTGTGGATTAGGACAAAGGCGGAGAACAAAGTGAGTGGAATACGGGCTGGGAGGCCCGCGCGGAGGCCGCCGCCGGCGGCGGGGGGAGGGGCGCGCAGGCCCCGCCCCCGGCCCGGCGACTCCCGCGCCTCACGTCGGGCGTGGCCGCGGCGGGGACGGGGGGCGTGGCCGCGGCGGGGAGGCGCGAGCGCGGCGACGCCCGCCCCCTGGGTTTGCTGCTGTCTGGTTTTTGGGTGGCGTGGGTTTTTTTTTTTTTTTTTTTTTTTTTTTAAGCACTCCTATACATCAGTGCAAAAGGCTTTGTTGACTCTGCTCAGTTTTATCAGATAAGATGCAGTCGTCTACACCAGGTTAGATTCAGCTGTGAGTTGGGTGGTATTTGGAGTTGAGAAAAGGGTTGGTTGCAGTGGAAATAAATTGCATTTTATAGGCCGATGTCAGCTCGAAAGGAGCAAAGCCATTTTGGAAATCTAGTTCTTGGCTAGTATCTACGCTTGGGCACGACAGCGCCGTTACTTAAGTAGACACAAAATGAAAGGAGAGGAGATGATTTTACACACTTTGCTCGGTAAATTTAAGTGGGTAATCTTGGGCTGCACCTGGTTATCTTCTGCCCATTCCATAGCTCTAGAAAGAAAAAGAAAAATTACAGGAGAGGTGATCAGTTACACCTCAGGCTTGTGTTGTTTGGGGAGCATAGCAGGAACATAAAAGGAGAAAATGGAAGAGTCGGGAAACCAAAAGGGCGGCACAGTAGAGAAGGGAAAAAAACAGGAAGGAATATCACGACTTTTCATCTTCAACAGTTTATGACCTAAGCCGTTGGACATAATTCTTGGCTGGACAGATTCTGAGGTCTGAAATGAGGACATGTGAATAGCTTTATCTGTTTGCCTACCCTTGTGGGGAAATGGGGGAGCTTTTATCATGCTCTTGAGCTTGGAGTCTACTGAGTAAGGGTGGAAAAAGGTTTGTTTCATTCCGTGCAGTTCCTAGCTATTATTTTTTATTTAAGTGTTGAGATTGAAACCCCCAAACGCCCAAATGACTCAATCCAGACTGAAAATTACTTTGTCATTGAGTTATTTCCTAAGTATCATTGATGCTATAAGGGCTTCCTCTCAGCATAGTGCCCAGAATTTTGATTTGTCATTCTTAGCATGGTTCATATTTAAGGTACGTTGCTTATGGTGGGACAGCTTCATCTGATAGTCTTTGGAATGAACTTGGGACAGTTAATATTAGGCCTGCCCACATTCAAGAAAAGTAGTTGGGGGAGAGGAGTCAGATTTTTTTTTTTTTTAATAATTCAGCAGTTAGGTAGAACCTACCGAAAGTTTCTTGAACCCTGTTGTTTCTGTTCATTAAAGTGAAAGTCATTGTGTGGTAACAGACACAGTTTACTACAGGTGATAAAACAGCACTCTTATTAATGTTGGTCTTAATGGTGGCTAGGATAAAATGGAGATTGCTGTATGCACTAAGACATGTTGGATACATGAGATAAAATGACCATTTGAAGATTAGAACATGACTCCTTTGAGACTGGTGTATGCAGATGTCTGATTATTGCAGTCATTGTTTAAAAAAAAAATCTTTGTGTATTTATTTTTCCTTGTTTCAAAGGCAGAGAGATCTCCCATCTGCTAGTTCACTCTCCAAATGCCCACAGCAGCTGGGTTTAGCCATGCCAAAGCCGAGAACCAACTAGGAACTTACTTTGGGTTTCCCACCTGTGTGGCAGGAATACAACTACTTGAGACATCTGCTATCCCTCAAGATAGCATTTCCTAGAATTGCAAATAAAGCTGGCGCTTGAATCCAGGAGCTGTGATATGGGATGTGGGCATTCCAAGCAGCATCTTAAACTCTGCAGCAAAGGCTTGACCATATTGCAAGCACTGTTAAGAGGAAATTCGGGGGCCCATGTTGTGGCGCAGCTGGTAAAGCCGCCATCTGCAATGGTGGCGTCTCATATGGGTGCGAGTTTGTGTCCTGGGTGCTCCACTTCTGATCCAGTTCCCTGCTAATGGACTGGGAAAAGCAAGAGACGATGGCCCACATGCTTGGGCCCCTGCTAGCCACGTGGAAGACCTGAAAGAAGCTCAAGGCACCTGACTTCAGCCTGGCCCGAGCATGGCCATTGGGGAGTGATGGAAGATCTCTGTCCTTCTCCCTGTAACTCTAACTTTTGAATCAATCAATAAGTCTTTTTTTTTTTTAAAGGAGATTCTAATTTCCTTGTTTTATCAAAGTGCACTTGTTAAAATGAAGCACATTTTGTAGTGTGACCATGCATGTGTCCTAATGAGACCAGTCCTAAAAAACTCATTTTTGGTGTTAAGTGTCACCAGAGGCAGAAAATCTATCTTTAAGCCAGTAGTCTGGCATATTTTCTTTCAAAAATTTTCAATGCACTGTATATAACGGTATTTAAGAAAACACAAAGGGCTGGCACTGTGGTGTAGTGGGTGAAGCTGCCACCTACAGTGCTGGCATCCCATATGGGTGCCGGTTTGAGTCCTGGCTGCTCCACTTCCAATCCAGCTGTCTGCCATGGCCTGGGAAAGCAGTAGCAGAAGGCCCAAGTCCTCAGACTCCTGCAATTGCGTGGGAGACCTGGAAGAAGCTCCTGGCTCCTGGCTTCGGATTGGCGCAGCTCCGGCCATTGGGGCCAATTGGGGAGTGAACCAGCGGATGGAAGACGTCTCTCTCTGTCCCTGTTTGCCTCTCCTCTCTCTGTGTAACTCTGACTTTCAAATAAATAAATAAATAAATCTAAAATAAAGAAAAAAAAAAAACAGAAACCAAATACCTCCCTAATGGTTCACTAGAAATTGTAAAAGATCATCTTGTGACCTGTCATCCTTCTGCTCTCCTGTCTTGACTCTTACTCTTGCCCATCAGAAATATCGAAGGGCTTTTAAGAAATTCCACCAAATGTTCCTTTTCACTTATGATACCTTTCAGGAAAGACCATAAAGACTCCCCGGATGAGCCCGGCATGTTTTTAAACTGTTAATACCTTCAGGGGCAATTTATAGAACCAGTTGCTGAACAATTTAAGTACCCCAGGGGTCCCACATGATTCGTGGATGGCTGTGTGGAATGTAATCCCCAAATCAGAGCTCTCTAGAGATCATTTTGGGGGAAGGATGAGTTGTCTGGACCTAAGATGAGCAAAGCCTAAACTGGTGCCAAAGGCTGAAATGAATGAACCTGGTTACCTGTTGTTGCAGGTTGAGTTAGATCTCCCCCTGATTCTTGTGTTGAAGTATGAAGGTGACTGTATTTGAATATGAGCCTCTGACATAGTGGCTGAATGAAATGAAATTGTTAGGCTGAGTCCTGCCTAATCTGACTGATATCCTCAAAAAAGAGGAAATTTGGACATATAAAGAAATACTGAGGACACAAACTCACTGAAAAAAGACCATTCTGAGGCATGGCAAGAGTCCTCAAAAGAAACCAAGCACCAAGCAAACCTGTCAAGACCTCGATCTTGAACTCGCCTTCAGAACTAGAGAATGTGGATTTCTGTTCTAAGCCATCCAGTCTGTGATAGTTTGTTATGATGGCAGTAACAAACAAATACACTTGCAAGATTTTTTTCCTCCACTCAGAATTACGTTATTTAATTGAAATAGTGGCTAGTCATCTAGTATTTTCTGAGGTGATAAATGAGATGGTAATTCAGCCTTGGCAGTAGGGGTGTGATGGAGTGTGGATTGGTGTTCTGGAACCGGTTTTCAAAGGAAGTTATAGCTTCAATTCTGCAGAGACAAGTTGCAGCTTGTTTCCATGGATCCAAGGGTCCTTTATAGAGGACTTCTAAGATTCTGAAATTTAAGTGTTGAAAGTATGAATTAAGAAGTAGTAGGATTAAGTGAACTGAACTGAAATGTGCTGAATTAAAATGTACTGGAACTAAGAATTAAATAGAGTCTTAGTCCCTGCCTGCTATAGGAGTTACTGGAGTGGAGGTACTAACTTCTTGCCTTTGTTCAAATCCTAGATTTCCACACGGGGAATTTCTTGTTCACCATGTTGAATTGTCTTTTAAGAGTTACTTACTTATTGTTTCCATCTTTTAAGAAAAGATTCTTCTGTAAGGCTTGTTTTAATATGATCTTTAGTTAGGTTAAAAGGCATCCTTTTATTTATTAGTGATAGGATATTAAATTTTAATGATAGTTTTAAATAAAATTTATGTAGAATGTAGATTTGCTGGAGTTTATAACCATTTTTAAATGAGTTAAGTTTTTTAAGTAATTTTAATGATTCATTACATGTATACAGAGAGCATTTGTTGCATGAAATTTTTGTGTTAGGCTCCATGGAATGCTCAAAAATAAAACATACGAAGACCTTATGGCCCTGTAAGAAAGATAACTATGTAATCAAATAAGTATGGTAATACAATAGAAAATGTTAGATGCAACTTTAACCAATTACATATAAATACAGGCAAATGAAAAAAATTTTAACCATTTGTGAAGAACATTTAAATAACTTGTTTCTGAGCCTCCTGGTGTGGTAGGGGGAAGGTATTATCATCCTTTACAGCAAGACAGAATGCTAGTGCTCAGAGACCCACTCCTCTAACTGATGGCCTAATACCTCTCTACTGTGTCTCTACC